CCCATACTGGAGGGAGACCTGACCCTCAGTACAAGTAGCGGTGGGACTTGATGGACTCTAATTTTTTTTTATACAAATATCCACTGCAAAAAGGGTCATATATACAGATGTCAATGGTATTATATCAAATATTTACAGAAACACACGGAAAATGTCAGTAATATTCTTTGATTTATTATTCTGTGAGGGTTTGATTTTATTGTACGGAAGTTAAATATACAAAACAATTATATTTATATAATTAGCAATAGTTTATTATGTTCAAAATGATCACAGGTATTTGCATCTCTGCTATTATGTATAAGATTTTTTTTGTATGATATTTATATTGATGAATAAAAAAAAATTATGGCAAAAGTTTGAAAATTATATTTTTATTTTAAGTCACAGTCAAGGTCACAAGGTCATTGACCTTGGTGTCATTCGAAAGAGCTTAATTAGTGGAGTATGCATACAAAATATGAAGTCTCTTTCTCTCATGGTTAAAAAAATATGAAAAAGATTAGATAAAATTTGACAATAGACAGACAGACAAGCAGACAGACAGATAAACAGACGAACCGATAAACAGACAAACATACAGGACAAAAACAATATATGCCTTGGATTTATCGATCTGGGTCATAAAATGTTGGTAACTTAAGAAAGTTCTTGTCAAATGTTCACATATTTAAGTAGCTCTTACTAAAATATTATCGTTACGTAACTATAGTTTACATTAGTTCACTAAAGTGATAATTTGACACTAAGTTGACTATAGTGCATGATGCATGTCTCTGATACTTTGATTTACTATAGTGGTTGATTTGATTCGAACATATGTAAAAATTAAATAAACGGATTGGGCAGCAGTCATAGCCTATATAAGCCCTCTCCACGGGTACAAGGTTAGATAATACACATATGGTAACAGGTTCAATATCACCAATAAATTATATATTACTAACACAAAATTGAATACAATTTAGGAGAAAGTACAAAAAAGTACATAGGTCTACAAGAGAAAAAAATGAATACTGGTTTATGTAGAAATGAGAGGAAAAAAATAGAAACTGAGAATTACAGCAATTTATAAACATACAATGAATTTGTATTTGATTTAGGCTAGAACTGGAATAAATATTTCATAGTTTCACTTCATGTTTTAAACCTTTTGGTTTGTGATATGTATGTATGAACACAATCAAACACTTTCATATTTCTTGCATGAGAAATATTACTGTCGCCAAATTATGAAATATTTAGGGAAACAGGATGTTGCAGGTCTATACTGGATATACAATTTAAAATAGTATGTCTTTGCTCAACATAACATTGGCATTCAAAGAAAAAATGACATGCGTTTTCTGTATGAAAACCACATTTTTTTACATTTGGAACTATCACTAATATAATATTTCTGTAAATCACCGTTTAAACTACTAGCATTATTTCTTAGCTGACATTGTAAATAGTATTTTTTATTGAAATAATATTTTCATGATTAAAAAGCTTATTGTGTGTTCTATAATGAGTCTTTTTAATGGCATTAGTGAAAGAAGATTGCGTTGGTAAACTTCTGATATGATATGTAATGGTTATAAGCCGAAAACTGCCCATTATGTCAGATATTAGACGACCCGCGGCGCGTTAGCGCCGAGGAGAGTCTAATATCTGACATAATGGTCAGTTTGAGGCTTATAACTTACCTAAAACATTTCACCACTATCGAACACGTCCATTGTTAACTTATTGGACATCCACAGGTAAGGTCTCGTTTTTGCTTGGATGACTACCTGGCACTGTTCATCAAGTTAGGCCAAAGAAAACCAGTTTTGGTTTTTCTTCTGTCTTTATTAATAGTAGGAATCATCGAGAGATGTTTTATATCGATTAATATGAACATTAACTTTGTTTAGTCTTATTTATCCGCATTGCAACATTTTTATACATACTACGCATGTGTAAAAGTCAGTTTTACTAAATTCTTTACAATTTATTCATTTTACAACGCAACGAACACGGATGACGACGTAAATTTTAATTCCGAAAAAAAAGACATTGATTTCAGAATCGGGTGTTTTGACGATGCAATTTATCGATTACACCAAGATGCCTCCTCAGTTCAAGTTTTCTTCTGTGAAATCCGGATATATATTCTTATGTTTCGGAATTTGCAAGAAACAGTTTCCTGTGAACAGGTAATTTTTGTAATGTAATCGATTTGAAGGGTTTTACTCCAACAACTGTTTCAGAATTTTCTTTGAAATTTGGAGATTATTTCTAATGTTTTTTTTAAAAAAATGCAGCACTTTCTCTTTTGTGTGCAGGTTTTGAACTCGGAGGATTACCCCCGCCACTTCTTAAAACAACGATAGAAACTCGCTTAAACAACTGAACAACGCGGGACTAGGTGGACAAATGGTGATAAATCACCGAACGAAATTACAGATTCCGTTGGAATTTCGTAAGCTAAATTTTATGCTAAATGCGGAAAAAATGGATATTTCAATAAACAAAAAGCCCAAGGTTGTGTGTAAGAAGTGAAAACGCATGCTTTTCGTTTATCTTTTGTGTCCATTGGATTCTATATATGTTCCATGGATCAATCATTGTGAAATGAATCTATTACTCCAGTATATTGCAATGAACGGTGAATTTACGAAATTTTTGATCGGAGCCACGGATGCGTCTACAATAATTAGGCCTTTCGACTAATTTTTCAAGTTGCACCTATGGTAAAAAAACATTGTATAGATAGATTTATAGGTATATGAAATTATCAAAAAATATAATAGCTTATGCATACTTTTAATTACATCATTAAAAAGTTTAATCATTTATAATTGACTTTTCCGATGTTGTGTTTAAGGACAGGTAACTCAGGTGTGAAAAATGACCAACTTAGTGCCGATTTATGAGTTATCGTTTATAGGAATGACATATAGGCTGCTTCAGCATTGGTATTGTTATATACACAAAAGGGTTCCTTACATTGTTTTGTACACAAAAAGTTTTGACCAAGAGAAAGAGAATGCCTTCACTCTACCTGAAATAACAGAGTCAAATGAATGGGGAATAGACTTTATTCAATAGTTTATACTCTCTTTGACGATTATTATGAAGAAGAAAATTTTATGTCATGTTTTTTGTGTTCGCATTTTTTCGCTTCCTGTGTAAATATATATATTTTTACAAGTAAATGCAACAATTGATCATCTTATTTGTGTTACTAAGCACGAAGGGGAACGACCGAGAATAAAAATTTAATTCGGTTAGAACTGAGAAGGAGGGTAGATTTCACTTTTTATTTTAATTAAAAATTTTAATTATATGCAGTAAACCGGTGTCCGGAACTATACAGTAAATAAGTTTTACATTTGTGCTAAATCTTAAAACCACTGGATTCTACTGAGAGCAAAGAAATACTTGGGAAATGCTAAAAACTGCCTTGCGTGTAAACAGTTAGATACCCCGAGCCTGCTCTAAACAAGTTTCAGCAGTGAATTATCGTTCATAACACCGACCCCTAGCGGCAGTTGAAAGGCCTACAATAATGAATCTGAGACATTCAACTCACTGGATTATTTGTGCCATTTTCAATAGGATATTTTGTGAAATATTAACATTTAACGCTACTAATCTCCAACATTGTTCATATTAAATTGTTTGATTTGCCATTGCTTTTTGAGTGCTGTTTACTTATTTGCCTCGCCCTTTGTTCTCATTTTCTTTACCTTACCGTCCAATAAGTTGAATCTTATTGGGCACCTACGGGTAACTTATTGGACGGATACGGGCAATAACAAATTTATTGAACCACGTTTAACAAAAGATTACGTCACAAAAATGTTTTAGGTAAATTATTGATTTGTAGTTTATAGATGGGAAATAACTATTCATATATGATGTGGTCCTCGTTTGAGGAATAAGAAAAGTAAGGCCATCATTGATCATTGTGTCTAAATGAATATGTGGTTTGGGTGGAACACAAGGTCTTAATAGATCTTAAAGGTATTGTGGCGCTATTTTGTCAAATAATATTTATTAATGTACTATTGGAGTTTTATGAAGAGACTTACTTTTACATTTGACAGCTGACTTTTACATTTTAGTGATTGGAGTTTGTCTATGTTAAAATTGTAAAAGTCAGTTGTCAATTGTAAAAGTAAGTCTATTCATAAAACTCCTTCCTTCTGTCAGATAATGTATTCCACCCCAATTCTCGCAGTAAATCTGAAATTCTTCCAGTAAAGATGATTCCTTTTCATTACAATTACCTCAAACAACGTCACCATATTCTAAATTTGGTCTAATAAAGGACATATATAATTTTATTAACGCATCTCGACAAAGGGAGTGTTTTAACATTCGTAGAACATATAAACGTCTACATGCTTTTTCTATACTATATTATAATGCTAACTATGAACACTGATTTACTATGTAGCGATATCTTTAGGAAGTTAAACACCTACCCACCCTCCCACACTTTAGAGGGGACATAATAATGACAGTAACTGTTATTGACACAATATGATGCCTTGCCTGCGGTCTTATTGCTTTAATATCTATTCTGCAAAAGAGAATTAGTCGTTGTTTAGAATAATTTTAGCCAATTCTGACCCAATCTACTACAGCTCCAGCAGTAACGCTTCCTAGGAGTCGAAATAAAATATTTCCTAGAAATCCAAGAACAGATGGGCCATTCCATAAAGATGTTGTGAACAGAAAACCCAACAGACATCCTAAGACAGTACCACCTGAGGCACACATCATGGCGATCATTCTTTTGACTAATTCTCTTTTATAAACGGGATTCGTGATTAGACCTCTCTTCTTGTCTTCCCGAAATTTGATTATGGACAAAAAGCTTATGAATTCCAAAATAATTGAAAAGAGGAATGAGTATCCCACAGTTTTGACACCGAGAATTAAAAACTGTACTGAAATTTCGTACATAAATCTATCAATGTGATAGATTTCTTCTGTTTTAATTCCGTGCTGTTTTCTAAATCCTTCTACGAATTTTTAAGAAATTTTGGTACACGTGTCATTGGCGATTGTCGGAAAATATTTATGAATCTTACTGCTGCTCGTGATGCCCAATTTCTTGCTTTTAGTTTTTCATTTATTTCAGTTGCGAATTTTTTAGAGTGACGTCTGAGCAACGGAGAAACCAAGATGCTTGCACATCCCTTTAACAAGGTTTCTAGCCACTCGCAAATGAGTACATCTATAGAGTCCCCCAAGGCCCTTTTGAAAAATCCAGCCAGGTTCCACTGCTCTGATTGTGAAACTCCTGTCAATATGTACGTCACAAGATTCTCACAGTTGCTAGCTGAGACATAGTACCTTGTTTCTCCCTCCCTCCCTCGCCATCTGCTCCAGGCAGTTGCAATAGCCTCTGAATTTCTCGGATATGCATCATTGTTTATAATATATAATTCTTTCTCGATGTCGGCTTTGAGCTGTTCTCTAGATAGCATCTCTTTCTTTGCGATTCCTTTGCCAATCACATTTAAGTCTGTGTTGACCGTGTAATGTATTATTTCACAGGCTTCATCCTCCCACTTGTGCCCTAGCAAAATGTAATGGTGATCATACAAGCCTCGACTGACTTTTAAATGGTGCATGGACATATTGTCCGAACTTGTAAGCGTGATGAGATGCTGAAGATCCGTTATTTTAGTTTTTCCTTGTTCCTGTGCCATCTGGAAGTTAGATGCCAAACGTTAAAGCAACAATTTGAACCACTTTATAAAACGATTTGCTTTCTTCATGGTTACTTTACATTTATATACATGTACACTTAGTACAGCTTTAAGGTATTTTCGCTGCATTTAGTATTTTTTTAAAGCAGAATTTAACCCTGCATATTAATTCTTGAGGATGTAAACTTAAAATGTAAGTAGATTGTTAATTTGCAAAAGTCAAAGTTCAAAGGATGTCGCATTATAGAAGACCCAATATGAAGAGAGCGAACAATTATCAAGCTCAATTTATAAGACCATTGTAACATTATAAACTTGGAGCAAAGCAAAAGTGGGACTTTGAAGAACATCACATATGAGATCATATGCCATGGAGTAGTAATAGTAGCTTCACGTCGGTCAATAAGAATATTTTTCTGTTGAGTAACAAACCATATTTCACACTAAAAGTGTCCATAATTGAATAATATTTGCTGACGTCATTTTATCGATCGATTAGAGAACTTGCGAAATGTTGAATTTTAACGAGATACCTTATGTTAGAAATTGTTCACTTACATGGAGTATGCTCTTGAGAATGGAATCAACTGGAAGATGTGTATTCCAGAGATATTGCTATTTAAATAAGGGACGAAATAAAAGCTGAACGCAACATAAAATTTTGTTGGTAGATAACCATCAAAGTCGTTTTCTGGTAAAATATCCATATATGAAACAAATATGTCAGAATCACAGGTACTTGTGGACAGGACCACCCCCCCCCCACCCCCCACCCGATATTCAACCCCGGGGCTTATTTGACATTTTTTTTCACAATTTATATTTAGTACACTTAGTCAACATGTTTGCAATAGGAACAAATCGTTAAAACCCCAAAATAATCGCTCCACAAAAAATACCCCACTATACATTGTAAGAGAGATAGTGGGGTATTTTTTGTGGAGCGATTATTAACTAAAGTGAACTGACATGTCCGTTTCCCGGAGTGAGGGTCATGTTCGAATAATTTGATACAAATGAAAAGTTTGGTTAAATATGAATCCCCTTGCTTCTTCTGTCTTCGTATATCATTACTATACCCCAAATTCTACGATGTTTGTGGCATAATTGGTAGTAAAATAAGTGACTACATGTATATCGAAAGTAAACAAAACAATATTATTCTGCAAAATAAATTTTAATTTTTGTCATTGTGCATGCAGGAAATTAAAGAGCAGTGAACAGATATATAAGAAATAATCAAACGAATGAACAAACAAAAAATAAAATAGGCCTTTTAGTTTATGTCATCAAAAGAAAACTTTCTCTTCGCCTTAAAAAAATCCTCACAGCATAAGTATAACGGTAAAAAAAGTATTTACCATATGAACCAAGTTTCAGATACTAGTACTCCTCGTTCCAGTCAACATCAGTTTCTCTTTGAAAATTTATGACGTATTTAAATAAGGTCGAATATCACTTTACGAGACTCAAAAGTTTTAAATGTATTCATGCGCGTTTTCTATATTAGATAGTGGTGAAAAAAACTCCAGTAAGGACACATTTGGAGGGCAGAAGTATTAATGTTTGTTCACAATTTTAAAGAAAATATTCACGTCAGGTGTTTGATGACTGTTTCTCTTATATTCTTTGTTCAGAAAGATTTGTGTTAGCTAGGAGAAAAAGGAAAAAAATGAAAATCGATGTAAATTTTTTTTTGTAATAAAATGAGATTCTTATTTTTTCTAGACTTTATAACAAATTTGCAATATATTTACTAAAATGTGTCAAATAGAATTAAAAAAAAAACCGATTTTATTCATATACTAATCAGACCAAGAGAATGTTTCCCAGTGCATAAAACAAAAGTGTGCATCTACATAAAAATCTAGGTCAACCTAAATTTAACAGTACTGTTGATATTTTGCAACAGATTCAAGGAGTGTAGCTACCATAAGCCACTTATGACAAGTGCCTACACTTATTTGTTTTCATTAAATTAAGAAAGAAATAAAGGACTAAATTAGTAGAAATCGTTTTCGCCATATGCCATTTTCATTTCTTGATACAGGCCATTAATTATATTTTACCACATTAATGTGCAAAGTAATAAAATGTAATAGAAGGATATGGAGATAACGAACAGTATTCAATATCAAAGTCCAAAAGCAATATAAAATAGGAGCAGAGCAAAAACGGACCCCTAAAAACATCAGAGGTGAGATCAGGTGCCATGAAGGAGTGAGCATCCCGTGCCGACCGGTCATATCCGCCGTGTGCTCGTTATCATGACCGGGAAATAACGGAAAAATCCGTCGTCAATTTGGTCTAAATCATGGAATTACAATAAGCATAAAGACGTCATTCAGCATTAGACATAATGATAAATTGTATTTGCTGACAAGGTCGTATTATGGCCATAGAATTACGAAATGATGACTTTAAACGAGACTAATCATATTCTTGTTTCATTAATTTGTTTGTCAATAATTTATCTCATTTTAGAAATTGTTAGATACGTAGAGCATCCTCTTGCAAATCGAATCAACTGAGAGATATAAACTCCGTATGCAGGTGACGAAGGTATAATTTGCTGCATAAGTAAGGGAAGTTGACAATAGAAAAGTTAAAGTCATCACGTTTATCATAGAGCTTGGTTGTTAGATTACCATTAATGTCTTTTTCAAGTAAAATATCTAAGTATGAAACAGATGTGTCAGACTCTGTTGTATCTTTTATCTCAAGCTCACCAGGATATATCGTATCGACGTAGGAATAGGAATCACCATTGTTAATTGACAATACGTCGTCGATATATCTAAATGTCGAGTTGAAGGCCACAGCAAGTGTTTTCTTCTTTTCACGCATAAGATTTTGCACAAATTCTGTTTCATATGAATATAAAAATATGTCCGCTTATAACGGAGTGCAATTGGTACCCAGTGGAATTCCAATAGATTGTTGGAATACCTGGTCTCCAAAAACTAGTGTTGGCAACGAGTACCCGGTTAACGTACGGTTAACCGTCGAACGATGCGACTATCGGTTAGTAAAACTGCTATTCGGGTTCTCGGATAAAAATACATTTTCATGTTAAATACGTTTAAAATATTTTTTGGTATTTGTAAATGTATATTGACACATTTCCCTAATTTAATTACCGTTAGGCTTGCTTTAGTCGTTCACAAATATGATTGATTTGTTTTGATTAGTTTAATTACTGACGACTTTAATTGCCAGGGGGTACACGTTTTGGAGACCTGAGTTATAATTACCTCATTTAGACCCGTGATGGTCAGAGAAACACACTTTAACAAAATGCCGCCATAATCATCTAAAGCATGGAAATATTGTTAAAGAACGGCGGACTCGAAATCTGTCAGATGCAATTTATGTGAATCGTATACGGTTGGGCTGGAACTACAAATATGCTAAATCACCTAAGATTGAAAAATAATTCGATAACCAGTGACTTGCATGGAACTCAGCAAAAAATAACCAGTATATATAGTTGCAAAATGTTGCAGGGTATGATATCCTCGATCACGACATATATCTTCTTCATGTGTTGATAAAATTATTTTCTTAAACAAAAACAAATTCCCCGTTTCAAATGACATTTAAAATCATTTGTTTTTGGAGTTTGTTTTTGTAAATAAAGTTCAT